AGAGATCAAGAGATGAAAATTCTTTGCTATATTGTCAAAACAATTTGAATATGTCTAGCAAGTTTGCACTTGTGATCTATTCGATTTAGGATTACCTATCGCATGGAACCAGGAAAAACCAGATTTAGCTTGTTTAGATAAGGTACGCGAAGCGGTCTCACTCTCTTAATCTCAGAAATGACAAGTATCGATTACACACTTGAGACTTGATTAGCGTCTTACAATTATGCAGAAGTGACAATTCAAAAAACAAATTACCTCCAAACTCTAACTTCTGATCTTGCATGTTAGGCCAGTACTGTTCACACTTGGTTTTCCCATTTTCCACAGTGTCGCATAACATTACCACATGTGCTACCTTCTCACCCACTACCATGCGCCAAAAATCTTCAATTGTGTTAGGTAAAGGGCCCTAAAATAAGAAATGTGTCGCCATTGATCGTGAAACGCACACGACTTTATAGACCGCTAACCTGTGTACATATGAAAGTATTGAGGAGATTTTCCCCTTTAACATAATTAGCATGAATGTAATCCCCAGGTTTTCCGTCATTCAGTATTACTCGAGTATAATCATTGCAAATTACATCTGAAATTTGCACGTGCCGATGGTGATCTAGACGTACTGAAATCTATTTTCACCTTTATATCTGTTTTTAGTGACGTTCTTATCGAAGATTTCCCTCGCATACTTAGCGGAGAGATATGGTTTGAGTATTGCATACTCTTTTATCAAGCCTTCCACGCCATTTTGAAACACGCCCTAAAACTCAATCAGGCCAATAGAAGGCATCTCTCTAGCAATGTTGAAAATCTCATTTCGTAATTCAAAAAAATGCTATTCGCATACTTTGACAAAGGTGTTGAAAGCAGTTATCTGGGCTTCTGATGGTGTTTTCGAGTTTCTAGTAGCTTTCTCTTTCGTCTCTCTTGTTTCTTTGGAGGGTTTCTCCTAAAGCGTTTGAATAAGCAAAAGCGCAATTTATTAATATTCTGCGGGTGTGCTGCAAGAAGAACGACAGAGATTGCCAGCCGGTATTGCCAAGGCATGACAATGCGCTATTTTTCTCACAAAATGCGAATTTTAGACAAAGACGAGTAAAGTTAGGCTGGGTTCGCACTGATCCGTTAGTTCCGCAGCAGTTCCAGCACAGCGCCATAATTGCACAGCTGTGCCGGAACTGTTTCCGAATTTACGGACCAATATGAACCCAGCCTTGAATTTCATACAACACTGAATAAGTTTCTGCTCGGAGGCCGTTGATATGTGCAATCTGATAATGCTATTGCAAGAAAAAACGTGAAAGCGGAGTTCTACCTTCAAAACTCTTTTACTCATTGTAAGGTATGTTCGCAATTTATTTTCAAAATAAAAACAATGCAACTCCTCAGTCTGACTAGGAGCTTAATACAGGGAAATGCTCTGAATCTTCGAGTATGGATGGTTAGAAAAGAGGGTATCAGATGCGCTAATTATTGACACCAGCCAGCTATCGTTGCTCTTGCTCGCCACGCGTATTCTCTGACAATACGTATCGCAGATTGTCTGCATCACATTTATATCATACATATCACTTACTTTAGTACTTGTCTTCGTCTCTGTAGTTTTACTCTGGGCTTTGCCTTGTTCTGGAAAATATGAAGGTGCGGTACACAAGGCTCTGGAGTGCCGGAGCTTTGCCGGCGCTTTCTTATTTCGATATAAACTAACCCGGTCAAGTGAGTCAGCAAGGTTAGCGACTAACCTTGCTTCAGTTTTTGACTGGAATCTAGCCTCAAACCGAGGTTGTACGTGTATTCGTTTACGTTGATCTTTCGAAAGCCTTTGATAGAGTTGATCATGATAAGTTTTGGGGAAGCTTAGACAACTGGGTTTGAGCGGTAATCTTCTGACATTGTTTAGGTCTTACTTGAGCAACAGAGGAATGACAGTAAAAGGATCAGTTTTCAAGGAAGCATACCTGCCATAGCGATGCCCTCTACTTTCTCCATGGCGTTCTCTGCTGTACATCGCCGAGCTCCCGGCGATCTTCAGGACTTCCGCTCATTTTACAACTCAGATGTATGCAGATGATGTAGAGATCTGCGGGTTTACAGCAGAGATAATCGGGACGGTGTTCAGTCTGCGGTGAGGAGATCGCTAGAGTTGATGGTACACTGGGCTTCTTGCTCGTATATCCCACTCAATTTAGAGAGGTGCCTTCTTATGCACTTCGGTGACAATGACCAACCTGATTACGAGGTCAATGAAATACCTGAAGAAAGGCTCCATTGCCATGGACCTGGGTGTTTTAATTGATCCGGAATTGAAGTTTCTAACCCATATTGATTATGCAATTAGCAAGGCCTACCCAGTACTATTTACCATTTTGGGTGTGTTTATACGAGTAACTCAATAATTCAAGCGACATTGCAAAGATTGTTTTACCTCACCTTGAGCACTGTTTTGTAATACGGAATCCTTTTTCGAAAAAGAACATCTTCAAGTTGGAGAAAGTTCAGCAAACATTTACTCGCGTTTTATTTTGAGATGCCGTAAAATGTTTGCTTTTATTGCAGTTGATGTATGAAAATCGTCTCAAGTCCATGGCAATGAAGAGTTTGGAATTCAGACAAATTAATCTTGATCTCATCTTTGCTTTTCGACTTATGAGGGAGAAGCTTAGGCTTAACCCAAGCAAATAGTTTAGGGCAACTAGGATGGGTGGGTTCAACATTCACTATCCTCCGATCAAAAACAAACGTTTTCTCTTAACAGCTTTTTCATAGACTATCTATTAGGTTGTCCCAAAAGTGAACCGTATTTCTCAATAAATTAGATTGCTTTTGTTTTCTTGGCAGACTTAGGGTACCATTCGATAGAACGAACCAAGCTCTACAAAATGACCACTAAAGATCCGTCTAAGTCGTAATCAGTTAAATTTTGGAGCCAAAATTCAGAATTTTTTAACTACCCCAAAAAAACGGATCTTCTTCCAAAAAGTTCCAACGGACTTCCAACTTAGTCTTTGTGGAGTAGACACATAGTAGTACCC